CCACACTGCAGTTGTATGCAGGAGGCATACTAATTTTCCCACACTATAAAAAGTTATTGTAGGTGTTTTTCTCCATAAGACCTCTTTGTTCACAAAAATCCTGTTCTTATGAGTCTCAATTTGTAGACAATGGACATTGAATGCACAGTGATATCCAAAGGTGATTTTGTGGAAACTCCGTGGTTTTCACTCTAGTCTTTAACTTTCCTTCTCCTGGAAATTAGGTTTACACAATTACATAATTCTTGTCCTTGGCCCCAGTGAATCTTGACCCTGTTGGACCATTTCATCCTGCTTTAGCTGAGTATCAGGCTGCTCTGAGTTAATACATTCCAATGAATTTAGAGAAAATTGCTGGCAAGGTACAGAAGAGAGCACAGTTTTGCATCTATCACTAGAGGAAGTGAAGGAATAACTTAACTCTTACTATTTACATGATGCAGACGCCTGGCAGGGAATATTATATGTAGGTTTAAAGAAAATTTAATACACTTTCTTTGCCCAGCCGTAATAATTATGGATGTTAAGTGAACCTAGAGGTAAGTGAGAAGGGTAAGTGAGCAGGTGTGGGGAGGGTGAAAGGAGCTGAGGAAGAAGAACAGTGACATTAGGAGTGAACAGTTTTAGGAAAGGAGTAGGAGGGATCTGGAGGGATAACTGTGCATGGGATGCAGAGTGCAGTGGCAGATAGGATGTGTGGGCTAAACGGACATAGGACAGACACAAAATTTTTTTATAAATATCTATGTTAAATCAGTGGAATGGTATCAGCAGAAGATTCGCTGAGCAGAGCTTTGGAAGTTGCATTGTGAAGTTTGGTTATATTTCTGACAAACAGTTATCTAAACCAGATTAGGGAAGCAAGAATAGAACTGACACGGCTTGGAAATAATATATGTGGAGAATTGCTTATAATCAGCCTATTCCCACGAGAAAAATGTTTCTTTAAATTAAGACGCAAATGATGTGACCAAGAGGGCAACCCTAACCACTTCCTGCGTATTTTTAATTCTCCCAGGAAGGGGCCCAAAGTCCCTATACAGCAAAAATCATATATTTTGTATACCAATGTTTAGAATGACTTTTCAGGAAGGTTTACTCTGAGTCAACAATCAGTGCAGTCATTTTGAAAGACCTCAGTCTTGTTTGATATCTAACAAATGGACGTTCTTTGCAGAGATCAGCGTGGAGACTTACAGACTAGAAAGAAAACTAGTAAACTGCAGTATGATAAGCCTGAGAGATTAATTCTGTTTTAAATTAAGGTTCTCTGGCCAGTGCTTCCTCTAATCATGAAACAAACACTACTTTTTAATAGCCATATAAACAGTACACAGAGAGTGCACCACCCCAGGAAAATAATCCAGCAATAGCATGGCATCAAGCTAAGTGAGGGTCAACTGCAAGGACAAAATATAATCAACCTGATTTCAAATGGTGAGGTAACGGTAAAATACTTCGAGCAGTGGCTTAGTCCAGGTCCAAGTTTGTGTGACAGAGCCCAGAGGGTTATGGTCAATGGAACAGGCCCAAATTAGAATCATAGAATGCTTTGGGATGGAAGGGACTTCAAAGATCATCTAGTTCCAACCCTTCCACCATGGCAGGGACATCTTCTACTAGATCAGGTGGCTCAATGCTCCATCCAGCCTGGTTTTGAACACTTCCACGGGTTGGAGGCCTGTAACCAGCAGTGCTCCTCATGGGCCATTACCGAGTCCAATCTTATTCAGCATATTCATCAATGACCTAGACAAGGGGACAGAGCGTATCTTCAGCAAGTTTGTTGACGATACAAAACTGACAGGTGTGACTGACACACCAGAGGGCTGTGCTGCCATCCAGCATGACCCGGGCAGGCTGAAGCACTGGGCAGAGGGGAACCCAATGAAGATCAACAAATGCAAATGCAGGGTCCCGCACCTTGGGAGGAACAACTCCACGCACCACTGTAGGTTAAGGGTAGACCTGCTGGAAAGCACAGTGAGGAGAAGGATCTCGAAGTCCTAGTAGACAGTGAGTTAACAGCGAGACAGCAATGTGCCCTTGTGGCAGCCAGTAGGTTAAGGAAGGTCATCCTCCCCCTCTGTTCTGCCCTGGTGAGGTCACATCTAGAATACCGTGCCCAGTTCTGGGCTCCCCAGTTCAAGAAAGACAGGAAACTACTGCAGAAAGTACAGAGGAGGGCTAGAGAGGACTAGAGGGCTGGGGACTGGAGTATCTCTCTTACGAGGAAAGGTTGAGAGAGATGGGATTATTTAGCCTGGAGAACAGAGGGCTGAGAGGAAACCTTATAAACCTCTATAAATATCTAAAGGGCGGGTGCAGGGAGCCAGACTGTTTTCAGTAGTGCCCAATGACAAGATAAGAGACAATGGTCACAAGCTGGAACACAGGAACTTTCATCTAAGGAAGAACTTCTTTACTGTGAAGGTGACAGAGGCTGGCCCGAGAGGTTGTGGAATCTCCTTCTCTGGGGCCTTTCAAAACACACCTGGATGCAGTCCTGTGTGATGTGCTTTCAGCAATCCTGCTTTAACAGGGGAGTTGGACTAGATGATCTCTAGAGGTCCCTTCCAAATCCCACAATTCTGTGATTTTGTGTAAAATAAACATTTATAATGACAGACACAAACAAAATTTATACTAACTAACATTTTTTTTTACTCCAACTGTTGCTGAAAAGCTATATCTCAAGATTAACAGCCAGGATGAGAAGTAGAATTTGTAACAATGAGATAGTCTCAAGGGAGTCTGAGTACATTTCAGTTCTTTCATGGAAGAGTCAGCACAGAGCGGCCGAATTCACACAATCTCCCTACTCATTTTTTCCCAAAAATGCCACTTTGTGGCGCTGACAACATGGCGTAGTTTGGAGTGGGTTCAGCAAACGTTAAGAAGTTTAGACTTAGGGATTTCCTCCACAATTTGTTGCCAGAGCCACAAATGTGAGAACAGCAATATCTTAGTGAAAGCTGAGACGTGATGCTCCTTCCAAGTTCTATAACCATAGGAGAATAGCTGGGGATACGTTAGGGAGTTAAACAGTAAATAATATGCATGCGTATGATTGATTGGAAATAGCACACTGTTAAAAACAGTTTTGAGAGGGTAACTTGAAACAGAAGATGTTCTGGGAGCTGAGAAAGTGAAAAAGAGAGCCTGGAGCAAGGGTGCACTTGAGCCCCAGGGCCCTACAGGCAAAGTGAAATCTGTGCCTGTCTCTGTATGGGTGTGCACTGTAACATAACAAGGTGAGGCCAGAACTTTCACCTCTCAGAACTGGGAGCCTGCAGCAAACTGCCCTGCTCACCCCACAGTCTCCGTCAGGTGGCCTTGGTATAGAATCAGAGTAAGAGACAGAATATGTATGTGGACGCAAAGAAATGCTATTCTATACCTAAGGCTGAAGAAGCTGTAGCAGGCAGATATAGAAAATACTGTCTGAGAATATTTTAAACTGAAGAACAAAAAGATGAAAGCAAGATTCCCTCTAAAGCCATTAAAAAGAGAAAGTGCTTACAGGTAAGAGGTTTTTCAAAGCCTGCTGATTACGGAAGTCATGCTTATTTTTAATAATTTCAAACTGTAAAATAACTTAAAATGAAACAGAAGTTATTGTTATTTCATTGCTCAGAGAACTAATATGCTTTGTACTGGAAATTAAGTTGACAAGCATCAATATAGCCACTGGAGACTCCCAGCAGTACCTGGGTTTTCTTCTGATCAGGAGCATGCTTCTTCAGGAGTGCTTCTCTGCAGTAGCATATATGTGAATTTTGGGCACCAATATTAATTGTTGTGCCCGTATTTCCTGCACCTGTGCCACTCCAGTTGCACAAAACAGTTGAAAACCCACAGATCCTTCAGATGTCACTTCCGTTGCTGTGTAAAAATTTCTAAATCACACATACGTATCTTTCCATCACCTCTTGTAGTTCAATGGTATAGGATAAGCTTAGGAAAAAGCAAATACAATTGCACAACAGCAGTTTCCACCCTTGCATAACAACAGTTTCCACCCTTAGCTAAACAGGCAGTGGCTTCTGTTCCCCCACTGACTGCAAAGTAGCTATAAAGACTGTTAGACCTCAGCTGAAAAAGATTTTTTTTTTTAAGAGAAATAATAAAAAAAGAGAAACAATGAAAAAAGAAGCATGAAAATTAAATAAAAACCTGCCATTTCTTTTTTCTCTTGTAAAACGTACTCTATTTATGCCTTAGCCACAGCTGGCAAATAAACAGAGAGGTTATGGAATTTGATTAATATAGCATGCAAAAGAATGTAATCTATTTTCATTTTCTTGAAAGGTATATTATAAATATAGGGGGGGATTGGCAGTACAATGTTTAATGCATAGCACATATTCTTTTACCTCAAAACCTAAGGTAGCATAGTTAAAACAATTTCAGCCCAAACAGATGCTCAGCAAAATATAAATTATCATTTGGATTCTCCTTACAGATACCTATAGATAAATATCATAGAATTATTAATTAAAAATAAGATAACATATGAAGAAAAAGAAGAAAATACTGGTTTAGCTCTTGAAAGTTGTTTATATGTTTATATGTTGCTTGTCAACAATTTTTCACAAGTTAAAATTATGCTTCATTAAGTCTTAGGGCTATGAGTAACACAAAATAAGGTTCAAAACTTAGTGTCCTTACTGTCCAGGAGGAAAAAGGTAGTTCAAATAAATGAACTTTAATAAACTCGGATATTTGGCATAAGATATAGCTATTTAAGAGAAAATTATATTTTTAATTAGTTAAGACCTATATGTAACTAATTAAAAAACTAAATATATGAAAATAATATTCCTCTGTTATTATAGACCAGAATTCTTGTATTCTGTGAGAAGTTTGGATAGCACAACATGAAAGCGATGTCACTGAGTGAAAATATGTGGCTTAGGTAACAGAAAAAGTGCTACTGAAAGGAAAAACTTTTATATTTCTATGGTCTGGCATGTAACAGTCTCTGCGAATGTACATACCCATTTGACACCCCACATTCCAGAACTTATGAGGTTCATAATTTGAGGAGGTTTTGGTTGCTTTGGGGTAGATTCTTGCAATGAATCTTGAAGTATGTGAAATAAACTCTTTAGCTGAAAAAAAAGAATAAAACCTTGGTAAGAAAGAGTTTATTAATGAAGAGGACCTATTTGAATAAATAATAATAAGATATAATAATCCAATCCAACAATTTTAAGGGTTTTTTTACAGAATGAGAGTACATCCTATCTATGTACTTCAATTTTAGCACATTTTTATGCATACTAATGTTAGAATATGGGCCACTCTGAGATATGGCTAAAATTCTACCTTAAAATCTTAACATTTTTGTGTATATTTGAAACTGATAGTATTCCTGTGTATAGTACAGACTTCTGCTAAAGTTTCAATGGCCAAGAATCATTCCTTCATGGAAATAGTCCGTTTCCTGACCCAGTTGTTAGGTAAATATACAATTTTCACACTAAAGCCCACTGTGTTCTCATGGAAAATGAAAAGACAGAACAGAAAACTGATCAAAAGCCCACTCATTCTTTAGTACTTTAATGGGAAAAAAAATCATCCCAAGACAATCTCAGCTTGATCGCTCTTTTGAGGTTTAAATAAAATGACTGAATGATCTCAAGACCAGCACATTTCTAAAAGACAATTAATTGGTTCCTTTATAATCTTCAGAAGATATTAACTATTCAAGTGAGCTGATTTTCTTCCTCCTAGCAGTGTTCCCTCTCACAAAGGCATATACTACACAGATATGGAGAACTTCAGATGAGTTACCTAAACTATTCCTGATTTTAGTAATTAAATACTTATCTTTCCAGGGTCATTACTCTAATCCTTCCCATCCCCCCCGACACCCCTCCGTCTTTTGTTGTTGTTGTTGTTTTTGTAATAGAACTACTTTCATGTTCCCTAGATTGCTAGAGGTACTAGAGAGGATGGTGACTACGGACAACTGGCAGAAGCCTACTTGTTTTGATGCCACTCAGCACCATTCACCTAACCACCACTGAATCACCTCCACAAAGCAGTGGATGGCAGCTGGGCTGGCTCTGAAAGAATGGGCCTGTGGCAGACTTTATCCTCAGAGTCGCAGATCACTGTTCTCAATGTTCCTTCAAGGCTGTTGGCAGACAGCTGGAGTTAAAACAGCATTGGCTGCACCAAATGGAGACGCTTCAACACAGGACGAGTCTTGAATAATCCAACTTGGCAGGTATGAAAGATCTGGTCCAGTCAATCCTGCTATGGGGTTTATTCATCTCCTCCAGTGCGGGTTCTCTTATCTGCAGTTATCATCAAAGCTACATGCCCAACTCCAGTACTACAAACCATACGCGAGGATGTGACATCCATTTCACACATTTTCAAGTATCATAGCATCATAGAATCATAGAATCATAGAATGATAGAATCATAGAATGGTCTAGGCTGGAGGGGACCGACCATAACTTTTTAATTACTTGGTGCAGAAAACAATTAATTAAAAGGTGTTCACATATTTTATGAACTGTTTTAATATTTGTTCTTGTAAAGCTACATGAGATTGAAACAAAGATGATTTTCAATTTGAGAATCATAGAAACACCAAGGTTGGAAAGGACCTTAAGATCATCAAGTCCTACCTACAGCCCTGCACCACCGTAACACCAAACCCTCTCCCGAAGTGCCACATCCAGCCATTTTTTAAACACGTCCAGGGATGATGACTTCACTACCTCCCTCGCCAACTCCTTCCAGTGCTCCACCACCCTTTGGGTGAAGAAGTTTTTCCTTGAAGAAGTTTTTCCTAATATCCAAACCCAAGTGAAATAAAGAATGCAAATGATAGTATTTCTAAAACAATGATATAAAATCAAGCAAATAAAATTGTATGAATGGGTTTAAAAAAAATTTTAAAAAATTTTAACCCTTCCAATCCCTAGGCAGTAAATCATAGCAACATTGTAACTTTTATCTGATTAAATAAAAATAAATTACCTGAACGTCTAACAAATCTTTGTGCTCGAGTCTCTACAAATGAATTAGTTTCATAGCACTGCTGATTACTTGGGGAATGATCAAAGCTCACAAACTCCTGAGATTTGGTATAAATCACAAGGTCTGACAAGGTCGTCCTCATCTAATAATCATAACATAAAATAATGGAAGAATAAAAAATGAAAATAAGACATTTTGTCATTATTATTACTAACAATTCAGAAGAAAATATCATTTTTGGACACATAAAGCATGGGAAAATGTGCCACAATTAATATTTTATCTTCACATATGACTTTTGATAGTGAGAGTTGATCCAGTCAGAGGCGATTAAGGTTGTGTCTATGTTCATCACAGTAAATGTAGAGTAAATGGAAAGACACTTCCAGTGCTTCTTAGAACAATTTTCTGTTGGACAGCTTTATAATTTCTCATCTTCTGAGACTGGTATGTAAATTAATTTACTTTTCCGTGTGTCTTAACATTACTTGTTTAAAGACTACATCCAACTTTATATTGCTACATACTTAAAGTACTAGAAAAGATATATTGGTAGGAAGTACTGGTGAAAAATAATTTTAAAAAAGTGCAGGTTAATCAATGTATCAATAGCACAAACTCAACTACAAAACGTAGACTAACAGAACAATATTCTGCCATGCCAAGCAAATCAGTCGTAGGTATATTCCTCCAAACATTGCTCTGAAGTTGGGAAAACACTGTTCTTAATTAAGATGGAAAGTTCTTTGGCCAAAGTCTTTGTTTAGTCTTGTTCCATTACCAAAGCAAGCAAAAATTAAAGGCTGCTGCACATTGAAGCAGCTAAAATTTTACCAGAGTCTTATATATTAAACTGGGGTGCTATGTGACCTCTTCATTTTACTCAGCATGAATTTGTGAGCTAATTATCAGTAGTACGTGGAAAAGAGCTAGTGGTGCTAATAATGTTTACATTTCCCTAAAGCTTTTAAAGGCACAATCTCATCTAACAAAACAATAGGAATTGCCTGCTCGTGATACTTAAACTACTCAAAGTTCAAGGTATTAATTATTCTGGAGCCATATCCCATGAGGACTAGCAGAAGTCTGTCACAGAACTTCTGAATAATACGACTCACTGGATGTGGAAGGCAGTAACTCGACCGAAGCTAACAGCATCACTAGGGTATCTTGGATGTGGACTCTGATGCTCCCCTCATCTTCATTACAGCAACAGAGTAGGACCTCATCATAAATTAGTTTCTTCTGCCGGTGAAACGTGACCAGACATCTGTTGTACTGCTATTGATCAAGACATATGTGGTCTGTGTTCTGATCTGTAACATGATGTTACAAACACAGGTGACCCTATAATCTGAAAATTTGGCCTTCCCTGTTCGAAGATGACTCCATCGTCCCTCAGAATTTTTCCTCTATAACAGATGGAAAGAGAAAGAAGCGTCGATCCTGACCTTTGAATTACTTAAAGAGACAGAGAGGAAGAGGCACTGCCTCTCAGCAAAAACACTGAGCCCTAAGGATCATTACTAGTCTATCCTCATTCAGAGAATTGGTTCATGACATGCAAAAGTGACTGGGTACTGGGTGTTTCCCGTCTGCTTGAAAACTTGAACAAAGCTGTTCAAACCCTGATGGAGAAACAGATTTCCATGGCACAGAATTATTACTTGGTTAAAAAAAATAAATTCAATCTGTCTATCAAAAATAACTATTACATCCCAATTTTACACTCTCAGAAATAGCATTTCATGGTAAGTCTCTACATGATAACTATAAAAATACCACTTCTGAAAGTGCTTAAATATGTTTTAGGGCAACCAGGGCTCTACATCTAATTTCATACATAAATCCAGAACAAAAGAAAATAGGAGAATGAGAACTCTTCAAATGAAATCTCCAAGATAGACTGGTGGATCATGGGAAGAAAGCATTAATTCTGTCCTTCCTTATCAGGAACTTCTATGAGTGTGCTCCATGCACAGCTCCAGGAGGGCCATGAGACCAAAGCAGTTCGGTAACTTCATCTTAGATCTGTTGTGGTATTGAACACCTGGGACAAGCACAAGGCGTGAAAGTGGAAAATATAGGTGGAGTTTAGGATGGGAGAACAAGAGCTGCTTTTTACTACGATATTAAAATATGCCCCAATTTGGAGTGCACTGTAAGAATCAGAAAAACTCTGAAACCTCGAGCTAAAGCATATTATTTAAATATATATTCTTCTAAGTAATTTTAAAGATTACCTTTTAAATTTAGTCTCTGTTTTAAGGTAATATTTTTTTTTTAAAAAAAAAGCATGCATAAATGTGTTTTCTATAGTCAACTGAGACAAAAGTTACCTTCACCTTTTTTCGAGGTGGTGTTGAATGTTGCTTTTCACTTTTTCTTTTTCTGGAAACATTCCTCCTGTGAATAGGGGCTTTTTTATCAGTCTCATCTTCCTCTGCCATGTTTTTGAAGTCAGAAATTTCCCCTGTCTCACCATGGCTGTCAAATTCTCTCCTGAGCGTACCTTCCTCAGTTGTTCCAATTATTTTATTTTTTATCAGAATTTTGGATTTTAATGCCTGTAGAAAAGAGGTTAAACAGTAGTGACTAGAATTATGTATGGATTAATTTCAGGTTTTCATACATAGGTATTTAATCCACATCATGAAGTGAGGTAGCACAATGAAATAAAGATAGATATAGGTGAGGCAGAAATCAAAACCAAGCAAAACAAGCTGGAATCTGGGGATCAAAGAACAGAACAGAATGTGAACAGGTAACCCCATGACAGCAAAAAAAGCCTCTCCATCACACAGATGCTGAAACTGTGAGCAAGACTGAGGAGGAAAGTGTCAGAGAAGGTGGCCAAGTAAGACATAGAAGGTTTATTTTTTTGCTATACATGAGTTCATTTTTATATAGAGACTCAATAGACATTTATCTAATATTAATCTGAATTATTTTTAGCTACTGTTGCAGCTGCTAGAAATGTTTTATCCTATTTGATTAGTGCATTTGTGCACATATCCCTAGCATATGAATTTAAAACTGAGTGGATCCTTATGCTGATCTTACCTGGTTAAGAAAATTAACAGTGTTTGGTAATTCATTGCCCAAGAGGTTTCACTATTTTTAAATTGACATGTTTCAACTTCCATGGTATAGAATGTAAGAAAAAAATCAATTAAATGTTATAATTTCTAATAAGATGGCTTTTGTCTACGCACCCATAATCCTATGAATATAAATTTAACCTGGGTTTCTGAAATAACATTCATAGTACAACAGCGATTGTATAGCAGACATTCATCTCTACCTCTGTACACAGGAACTGCCAACGAGTAACGGGACTTACTTGAGTCATGTACAAAAGTATTCCTTAAGCTTCACATGCACTTATTGAAATTTAAGGCTAGGCAGGCCACTAATCTTGGACATTCTCTGTGATCCCACCACCACCCCATAACAGGGGAACTAGGGAGAGAGATTCTGAGGTTGAAAAAAACTCGAACCAGTTTAATGAAAAAGAAAAATCACACTAACAATAACAGTGAAGATGTTGGACTATATACAGATGTTATACAAGCATGCAAATATATTCAAAGATACAAAAAAAAAAAATTAATAGAGAACCCATGCCTTCTGGACTAAAACAAGACCCAAGCAGAAAATTCTCAGACTGGACTTGACAATAGCAGATGGAGCACCCGAGTCCAGAGCCCCAAGGACGGAGCACCAAAAAAACCACAGAAGGAGCTGTGCTGCTCCTACCTAGCATGGGATGCAGGGGCAGACAACCTGTTCTGACAAAAGGTGCTCCTCTGCAGTGTGGAAACAGTGGGCAGGAACACCGGCAGCACAGGGAAAGATTACAAACAGCCAGTGACAATCCCTTCAGCACAGCAAGCACTGAAAGACCCAGGACTCTCCTTACGGGCCCTTAAATACTGAGCACATGGGAAGGAACACTGCGGTTGGTCCATTTGGGTCTGCTGACCCATCCTCTCCTGCCCATAGGCACAACTGCCTCTGCTTCTCCACTGTAATTGCCCTCTGTGCCAGGAGCTCCAAAGAGCTTTGATCCTGCTCTTAAACCAGGACAGCACTGGTGAAAAGGAAGCCTGTACTGCTGAGAAGGTTACAGAAATAAGGAACAAATATTTACCCATTAAATAAAATATAACTCAAACATTATATTTTAAAGGATCCATTAAGTAAATATGAAAAGCATGGATGACAGAAACATATATAGAAAACCAAAGCTTTATAATAGAAACAAGAGCTATAGGCAAAGAAATTGACATTCCAGATATTTACACTGCAATCTCCACTGCTGATGTTCTTCTTATCTCTTCAGATCTTGTATCAGTCGTTTGTCAGTGTGCCAGTGGAATGAGCTAGCCTAAGCTTAATATCTATCAATGCCATGCTAGTGTAAGATGTGATTAGTCTCTCTGTACTGGTGATCCAGAATAAGGCCGCCCGTTAACACTTCCTTCATTTCTTATTGATACATTCATTTTTTTCCCTTGGTATTTTTAGAAGAATCTTAATATGAGTAATTACATTCATATGTTTTAAGAGTTCTGAATTTTCCTTTGCATCTTCATATTTCCCAATATTTAAATAAAATACTATCCACTTGTGGTCTTGTACTTTGTTTTTCATAGGTAAGATTTAATTCTACAAACTGAAAAAAAAAGACCCGGTATATACGGGAAGGAAAACCTTTCTGTAAATATATTACTGCCTCCTATATGTAAGCTTGGTTTAAGTGGAAAAAGACTGTAGTTTGTGTCATCATATAAAAATGGGCCATATTTTAAGTCAGACAGATTTTAAAATTCTCTTTACGAACTGTTAGCAAAGATGTAAATACCCTGCAGTAGGACAAACATTTATTTTTCTTTTTTTTTTTCCGTAAAGATAATATTTTCAAATCACAGCTATCTTTTGATAAACAGTTACAGAAAACACTCTAGCAAGAAAAAATTTTACTGTTTTTTGGATAGAAGTAGATTTCAATAGCAGCTAATCCAAATCACTGAATACGAACTGAAAAAAAGACATACAGATTTCAAGAGTGACCTTCAAATAAATCTTTAAAAAAACCCCTTATAATAAATGTATGGTTACCAAATCAGTTACTGTGAAATTCAAGTTCTTTAATTTGTAATTAACAGTGTTAAACATGTAGCATCTTTTTGTACAAATGTCTAAATCTTTTAAGCAGATAATGAGCTGAAAGGCTGAACATTCACTATAACTTCTCCTTCCAGTTTGAATATAAGTACGAATTATTAAAATGCACTTTCACTATGTAATTATATATAAACTGTAACCATACTAAAACCATTAAATATTTAAAACATAATATGTCTTCCTTAGAGCATTATGGAACTTGGAGTCTGGCAAAAGCTCCAAGTTCAACCAATTGGATCAAATATTTTAAAAAATTAAATGAACAAAACTTAGTTCTTGTACTAAATAAGCATTATGGTTAGTATGATACGTAACGCACATCAGAATAGCTGATATAATACAGGATTCCAAGACAAAATCACAAGTGTTTTGGAATGGTTCGGGGAAACCCACCTACTGATCATTGCAATTAATATAAAAAGAAACAAAATTCAGTTCTCAGAAATGCAAACCCTGGGTTTCGTCATGACTATTGAAAAGAGAACAGCTTCCCTTACTGAAATTTAGCAGGTGGGCTGGAAGGGAATCCAAAGGATGATTACAGAGAAAGATGGTTACAGGTTGGTTAAAATAATTACTCCAGTGTACTCAGGGCCCTCATCCATAGGATTCCCTACTGCAGTTCAATATTCCAGGAAGATACCTTGTCAAAAGAAACACCTGACTTTTATATACTAAATAAACCATCAACCCACCTGGCTGATGATAAAAAGTATGACAGCATTTTATTTCTAACTACATTACGAAGTTGCCTTACAATACAAAGAAGTTTTTAATAACAGGTAAATGACTGGTGCATGTTTGATGTATCTCTGGGAAAACAACATTCCCTAAAAGACTATACAATACAATGTCCAGAAACAGCATGGGACTCAGATGAGACTTCTGTTAAATTATCACTAGAATCTAGAGAATCCAGAAATTTTATGGAAAAGAATAATGACTTTATTATTTTGAGGTCATCACCAAGACATGTTACGTTTTCAACAGTGGACCGAGAATGTTTTTTGACTTGCTAAAAAATAAAGATATTTCCGACGCAAAAAAATTAGTTAAGATATATGCATATGTAACTTGTAGGTCAAAAAATAGGAACGAATTTCAGCACTGAAGCAACAGAATTTGATATGCTAAAGCAGTTGTGATCTTGAATTTCTGAGTGAAAAGCTCCATGTCCTACCTTTTCAAAAACAAGAAAATAAGACTATAAGATCCTATAAAGACATGGGAGAGAAAAATTTGGAGATGGTTAGACTGAAAATTGAATCATATAGCTATAGTTTAACTAGACTGGTACCATTTTTTCAGACATTCGAAACAGTCAGTAAGAACCAACTTGTCAGAGATTATAGACAGGCACGTACAAGTAGGTTTTGAAACCGTCTCAGTGGGACAGATCTTTACGGAGAAAGCAAGAAAGTCCAGTACCAATCAATATGAATCTCTTAAACTCGTGTTCTATCTAGATGTCAAAGACTGTCACACTTGGTAGATATAGCTGAATAAAAAGGTGAAGGAGGAATCCTGGCTATGGGGTTAGCTGTTTTTCCCCCTAAATAGCAGGATCTAGAATGCCCAGAGAGTGTAAAGTTGTACTGCAGATCCTCTATGACTCTTTCTCAAGTAGATCATTAAATAGGTCTTTTTATTTAGATAGCATGGTTTTATTAACTATGGAGAAACTTTGGAGGTTGTGGCCAGAAATGCTTCTGGAGCATCACAACACAGTAATTGGCCTTGCAGCTGTGTGATAAACATTAAAGATGACTTTTAAAATAACAGTAGATGCCACTTCACTTTCAGTTAACAATGCATCAATATCTCTTTCAATTTTGTGATAGGAAACCTGTAAATGATGAAAAATTCCTAAGTAGTTCATATGTACATATCATGCCAGCAGTGTAAGAGTTGATGTACTACATACAAAATTGAGGAGCAAACCTTCATCAAAAACATCGACGTGTTTACATTCTTTTTTGTATGTTACTTTGAGACTTACTTTTTTCTTACTTGTTGTCAGTAGATGTCAATCCCATTAGAGAGGAAGGATTCAGCAGGGTAACTAAAAATTGATCTCACTTCTGGGATTCTAATATTTTCTAAGGTCATCTACAAACTGTTGCACGTTCTGTCACTTTATGCGAGCATAATCCAGGAGTGTTGATCTAACCAGCACGGATCTCTGTCACCAGTCAGTGACGCCAAATATAATTTAATGTGGGAACTGACTCAGAAGACTTGGTATTTCAATGAATGTTAGAGGAAATTCATGAAGTCTCTTTAGAAGTGCCATAGTGGCCAAGACTGCAAGGAGAAGATTGTAGTGGGTCTGTTGCTTTGACAGGCAAAATATCTGCATGGGAAGGAGGCAAGAGGATAGGTAGGGTAGAAGAAACTGGTGAAGCTCGAGAGTGTTCTCAGTTTGTCCCATTGGGTAAGGAGTGTGTGAAAGGAAGAAACAGTGCAAAAGCCTTCTCTTTACTCTACTCCACATGTAAGGAAAGAATTGTCTGTTGAGGTTCTACATAATACAGTAATATTCCAGGGAATTAACAGTATTGGTACAGTCAGTTGCAGTCTGAACATAAGACTGAGGTCAAATAAAGGCACCTCTTTTCCTGAAATTTTCTGGATTTTGTATTTCAGGGCAAGATGATGTCAACAGGAAACAGAGCACAATAGCTTTCAGTGACCATCCAATTTTCTCTTCTGGACCTTTTAGTGGTTTGCACTTAGACTTACACTGGTAGGACGCATCATGCATGAAAGGTGGAGCAAGGAAATACCTAAGAATGAGTTGGCTCTGCATTTTAATCCTCCTTCCAGACAAACACAATTATCTAGGCTGAATGCGTGTAGCCCAAAATACACTCAGGAAAGAAGGTAAGAGATAGATCAGCCAAGAGAGGAGAAAATAATTTCCATGGAGCTCTCCAAATCTCCAAGATACAGGTAAGAACTTTTAGTTGATAAATGTTTCTATGAAGTGCTGTGTGGTGCTGCACTTCATGTACAGACAACAGCACCATTTGGTTTGGATCTTGAAGAGCATTGAGAAATGAGTGTTAAAAGGAAGCCTCGCCTGAGCTGCATGTGGGAGGAGCAAAATTAGGAGCAACAATAGCTGTCACACAAGGAGGATTTCCCACCCAGGAAACAGAAGGTTTCAGTCTCATGTGACAGAAAGGAAGTGGATCTTGAGGGTCCTTGCCAAAGTAATTTGAAAGAAAGGGGAAGGAGGACTGAACTGGGTAGTCCAGAGTCAAATCTTTGAGGAATCCTACAAGGAGGTTGTTACAAAAAAGCCAAATTAAGAAGACGATAGCACAGGTCATGAGCACAGGAGGTGACGACTAAATGAGCAACAGCTTTCTGTGATGCAGACAGTCAGAGGGCTTGAGGAACAGAAGTACGTCCTTTGCATTTGTAGGCCTGCGAGGCACATGTGGCAGTAAAGAGGTTTGTGCTGTATCCCTAGGGATATTATTAGATCAGAATAATCTCAAACACAGCGTATTATAAAAAATGTCTCTATGGTTATTGTTAATTTCAATGAAGAGTGAAACACTTTCTATCCTTTCAATCCTTCCCGTTTTCCTTGCTAAGACCCAGCCAGAAGGGAGGAGGGTGGAGGTCAACTCAAGTTAGGTGAAGATGACAAAAGAAGGTAAACAAAATTTTAGGGGAAATAGAGTCAAAACACTGTAACTGTAATCCAAATACCACAACTTCTAAATTCAGAGTAACTCAGTTTCTATGTGTATTTTAGCATATAAGCAATTTGCCACCTATTTTTATTTTTGTTTCAATGTAAGGTGATATAAAAGTCTAAAAAAAAAGAAGCAACAGTGAAGAAACTGTAATTTTAAATTAATATCCGGAATAGATTTTAAAAGCATATCCAATAAAATATGCTAAGGAAAAAGCTAATAATCTAGGTTAGTTTTTTTACTTCATTTCAATATTTAATGAAAGATACAGGTTCACATATAAATATATATGAGTTATATAGCAAAGTTTCAAAAGAGGAAACTGATTTCAAAGCTTTCCCTTTTTGTTGTGTATGAACATAATATAGATAGATACAGTTATCTGATAAGAATTTTGCTAGTAAAAGCACTCATGTAGGCAGATACATTAGTTCCCTGGAGTGCATTATTCGTAGTCATTTTTTTCAAAATGAGTTATTAGGCTGCCAGTCTTATCAGCCTCTAAGTAAGTGTATTTTCTGCACTTGAACCATGCCAATGAGCACTTATCATAGCGTTGAACCAATCTTCTATATGAGTAATTCCAATGCATTTTAATAATCCTGATACTATATTTTGTTAGACTTATATTAGAAATCAGAAGACTTTAAAAAGCAACATCTTTACTCTGTTACTGGTGTTAATAGCTCTGATACAGTTTTCATCCCAAGGTGGCTTTACCAGTTGGATTGCTATTGAAACATACCATATTTTCGCTAGTGCTCCATCTTGTAAAATGTTGAAAAGTAAATGATATAAGTGACAACTGGGTTTTTTTACACTAAGAAACCTTCTCACAAACAGTATTTTTAGTTCATCATTTATGGTTCTGTAACATCTCTTTTGCACTACTTAGGTAAAGCAAGCTTAGGTCTAAGTCCAGCATCTGGCTCACTCAAATGATAATGAATTTGCCCAGGTCCTTAACTTTAAGGATGTGATGCCACTAAACAACTTTTGAACATGGACCAAAAGCAGTTCTTCAAAACTATGTGAGCTGAAAGTCAAGCTTAATAATCTGTCTATAAATTCAGTTATAACTACCTATTTTCATTGCAAAATAAAATCCTAATAATTTTTCTTACACGCTCAATCAGAGCAGCTAAAAGAAATTGAGATGATCTTAATTCTTGTTCACTCTCAACACAATGATTTATTAAATTCAGACTTTTCTAAGTTAGCTGAGGACAGTGGTATTATTTAGTCAACTCTTACATAGATTTGTAATACATCTCACATCACTTCAAAAGATTAAAAGTTCAATAGAATAGATCTCACCTGAATAGCATATGTTTAAGTGAGGAATGAGTGTGGAATCCAACAATGATTTTTCAGGCAAAAGTTCTACTGAACTGACTTGTGAAAATTCTAAGCTATGTAAATATGAAGTATGAATTTCTTATATCACAGTAAACATATGGTAAGGATTGTATCTCTTAGAAAGTAATATTTTACATGTGTGATTCTGTGACTCCATGATTCAGATGGAGTACACTGATTTCATGTTAACTACAGAGGACATCTGATCCTTGGACATCTATTAGACTGAATGCAGCTATGCTTCGAGAAGCTTTAAAACAAGCTCACATGTTTAATATACATCATATTTTTTCTAATTTAGAGAATAGTTTTCAAAATTGCAACGTGATATTGGACAGTATGATATAAAAATATAATGGTACAATGTAAGGAAAAATATGTTGGCTTACTGAGAAATTTATTAAGATACATTAAAAATATTTAAACTAACATAGCTATGAAAGTGTGGTAACACTTTAGCGTGCCTTTTCGATGCAAGTTGAAAAATGACAAATCATTTACAAAAAACACATCACTTTCTGTTTTGTGTTTCCCTATGAGAGTATTTCCTTCACATGTTCTCATTTGCATTGTGCCTTTTTCAGTTACTGTAAAAAAAGATATAAAATATATCTGATATATCACTGACAAGGGTTGTGTTGAAACAACAATCTTGTATGTATGCAGGTATTTGTGTTACAAGAGATTAGAAAAAATCTTTTGTCCTTGAAAGAAAATTATGTGCAAGAACTGGAACAATGGGAATGTATTTGTTTGAGTTTGCAATAAAAATTTCAACTCCCATCTAATTGCTTTTTCTGACAATATCCTAGGCATCTCAAGCCACCAGCTGAGAAACACTGCCTTAGGAAGAAACACACTGAGGAAGAGAGAACATTTTTTCAGTAATAGAACTCGATGAAATAGTTACATCAACATCGTAATTGACAAAAAAATGTAGATTCAAGTTTCCATTTCAAAGACATATTTAAATTTCAGAAGATTTCTCAATCTAAGGAACAAAAACTAAATTAGCAGGTACACTAAC